GCCATCTCCCCGGCCCCTGTCTTTTTCCATTTTATGTTTTCACCATAAAATTCCTGGAACTGGGTGCTTTATTTTTAATTCATTTTATTGGTGCACTTTAGATATACATAGTGAGCTGTCATCATATAGAATTTGTCCCTGTGCATGATCTCTGTTCCTTCTTTTATCCACTTTCTTTCCCCTCCCTTCAATTCCTCTGTTTCTCCTTATTTACAAAATGTTTTTCTATTTTATCCTTCTATTCTTTTTTCCTTTTTCTTCCTTTCCTTCTCCCTCCTTAGTTCTCCTTCCTATTTGAACGCTTCCTTTTTTTTTAAAATATCTATCATACATTTTGGTCCTTATTTATCCTTTTGGTTTCTCACACTAGAGAAACCATACAATATTTGAACACATCTGTCTGATTTATTTCACTTACTTGTACGATCTGAAATTGCATCTATCAAGTTACCTAGTAATGGCTCAAATTTATCCTTCCTTATGGCAGAGTAATACTCCATTGTGCAAATAAACCACATCTGTATTCCTTCATTGGTTGACGGGTATTTGGGGTATTTCCAAGATTTAGCTATTACAAACTGTGCTGCTATGAACCTGGGTGTGCATATGCAACTGTAGTATGATGTTTTTAATTTTTTAAGTTAATTACTAAGAAGGAAGGTAAGAGGGTCAAATGGAGCATCTACTTTTATTTTTTATTTTTTGTAATTTTATTGAGAAACAAATAGCAATGATATGGCTTCAAAACGGACTAGTGAGACAGTTTCAATAATTCATACATTACATATTGTTGTTTGCTTAGTAGTTATTCATAGTACAAGATGCAGAGATGATATCCTGTCCACAAACACTATTAGTACAAATCTTTCTTCTCATTGCACTAAGAGAAAGTAGCTGTATATCTATCGTAATTATTTTGAATATGAAGATACAAAATGATCCTTTATTTGTATGGTCCTTTTTTGTTTAGTTTTGTCATAGATGGGTATTCCATTATCATTTAAATATTGTAGGTGCATGAATTCAGCAAAATATTCCAATGTAGTCCAGTGGTCCACAGTAGTAGTGGGTTATCCGTAGGATTGGCAATGTCAGAAGTTGTTGATTTCAGCCTTTTACAGCTCAGCCTATTAATATGACTTCACTTTTTATACTTCGTTTTTATACTTTTCTGCTGGATGGATAAGACCAAGATAAAGCAGGACCTATATAAGAAATGTAACT